TGTGTTTCTGGCATGGTGATATGGACTCATGGATCTCGAGGGTTTCACCCGCAAATTTAACTTTCTTGGGAGGTCAGCAGTTTGACAGTGGGAGGATCTAAATATCCTGTGTAAGGAAGAGACTCTTCACAGGGGCTGTAGGTGCCCTGCAGGATGTGCTAAGTTCTAGCTTTTTGTATTTGTACAATTGGAAATAGTTTAATGCAATCAGAAACCAAGAGGAGGGGAAAAAAAAGGTAAGGCTAAAGTAAGTTTTGCAAAGTTGCTTTTTGGCTTTTTTTTTCCCTTCCCCCTCTTCTTTTTGGAGTTGTTTTTTGCAGGGAGTGTGGAGCTAGTCCAGCCGTGCTGACTGGGAGGGCGGAGGGTGTCTCATTTGGTCTAATCTAGTGGTAAATGTTAAATTTGTGCCGGGCCAGTGGGGAAGTTTGGTCCAGAGGAGGCAACAGCCACAGGCAGTGGAGCTGGAACATTAGTGCTCTTCCTTCCCCAGAAGCTCTGGGTTTTAATGGGTTATTGTGGCATGGAGGAGAGAAATGTATCAGTTACAGACATGTGGAACTGCTACAAAAATATATATATTTTTCTCCCTTTAGAAACTTTTGGCTCTAAGTGTGGGCTTGCATGCAGAACAGCTGAGGTGATTGCTTTGCAGCAGAAAGTGACCCGAGTGAAGTTGTTCTAGCCAAAAAAAAAAAAAATGGGGAAAGACCCTAAGGAGTCTCTTGTGGGTGGGATAGAGACCTCTCTTTTAAACGCTTTAATATAGGTCAGTTTTTTTTCCCCAGTGTAACTAGGAGGATGAGATGTGCAAGGAAGGAGAGAAATTTTAGTATTTTTCTCTGAGGGGACTTTTTCTTAGCCTGAATAAGGAAGGAGGATTGTGGAAACTTGGCAGTTTTGTAATGCAGTTAAACTAGAAAGCTCTAATAGACAGATCAATGTGTACATTTATTTAGAATATAGTTCTGTGGCTTATGGCTTCCTGGAATCTACCTTCAGAGGAGGAAATTTCCTGGAAACCAGTTGCAGGTGCTGTTACTGGTCATGCTACCTTTTTCCGAAGGGGGCTAGTCTGAATTTTCACACTTCCAACCTTTCTGTTGGAGCTGGCTGTGAGGAATTTCTTAGCAATCCTCTGCCGAGAGGAGAGCTGCCCTAGGCAGGATGTGACTTTTGCCTCTGTAGTCTTTGGAAACATTCCTCAACGGACTTTTCCCCACTAATCCTGTTATTTCTTCAGTTTGCAGCCCTATCTTCCTTTATTGTGTTTGCTGCAGCCTGCAACCACGGCTGTGTGGTCAACTTGCTGACAGAATGTGCCCCTTGTGAGCCTGGGCTTGGGAAGTCGTTTAATTAATTACTTGGAGAGCTAACATCCCAGTTAAAAGAACAGGGCACAAAAGTACGACTCTCCGTGTGACTTTGGAAGGAGATCATTTTTTTTTCCTCTGTAGTATGTGTCCATGATTTTTTTGAGAAGTTGTTTGAGATCCTCGGCCATAAAAAATGCAAAAAGCTAGTTGTTTATTAAATAAAACTTAGATAACTCCATCTGAATATTTTAGTGGAGGCTGTTTTCCCATTTTATGGTATATGTGTGTTTTGTCTTGTCATACTTTTAATCTCTTGTATTTACTAATCAATTGTTGGGGGGTAGAGGAGAAGGAAGGATGTCATCATTCCTCCTCTCAACCAGCGTGGAACTAAATATGATGACTTTCCTTGGGCCTGGCCAGGAGTACGGAGCTCCCTTCCGCACTGAACACCGATCTGTGTATACGTGAGCTTTGTTCAACATATACACTCATGCCTTTGCATTGTTCCTCTAAAGATAAGAATTACATAGTTGTAAATTCCTTATTAGAAGACCCAAGTCCCTAATAGGAAGAAAAGCTTTTTGTGGAACTTCTGGTTTTGTTTCTTTTTTTTTTTTTTTAAATTGTTGCATAATTTGAAATCCTCTAAAAAACAAGTGAGTCAGGAATCTACTTGAAGTGGATTTAATCTGTAATTTCTGAGGCTGTTCATGAGAAGATAGAAAGAAAAGGAAAATGCTTATGAATGATGTTTACGCTGCTGTTTCAGGAGTTTTCCAGCCTTCGTTTTTGCTGGGAAATCTGTGTTATCTGTGCACAGAAATACACAGTCCTTGTTCTTCCCTGCTCTTCCTGTGAGTTGGCATCACCTCTTCCCTGTAAAACCACAGCCTGTGATAAGGATGAGGAAATTTTAGCCATTCTTCCCAAAGGCTGCACTTCCTTTCGGATTGTTTTCTCCTCATAGAGAATCTGCTGCTAATATTCTATGTGATTCAACTCTACAGAAGAGTTTTAATAAATTTAGCTGCTTATCTCCCTCAGATAATGAAGAGTTGTTAGTGGCAACCATCCATAAAATGAAGATAAGCTGGCCAAAGTTGACAGAACCTACGCAGGCACGGGAGATGCATGTAGTGGTTTATTATCTGTGCATCCAGCCCTGTCATCGCCGTTCTCGTCTAAGTGTGCTCGCTTGCGTGTCAAACTTGCTCGTAGCTAATCAGAGACTTGACATTTCGCTTTGGCTTTCACAAATGTGTGACTGTAGATACTCTGATTCAGGAAAGGGGATAATTTGGTGGAGGAGAGGTTGCTGTCTGGGTGCACAAAGGGCTATATTGAACCGTGTGCCCAGCACGTCGGTGGAAGGAGCGTGGCAGGGAGCAGCGTAGCTTCACATTTCGGTTGCTTTCTAGGTGAGTTTCCTAACTCCTTTCAGGCCAAAGGCTACCTGGCTTGCTGCAGAATAAAAGAAGGTACTATGGAGTGTTTCCAGAGTTATATTTTTGCAGCTAATAAGAATTATGCTGTGCTTTGAATGAATACTTCTTTCAGACTTTTATTTTCCGTCTTCTTGTTGTCTTGTTTACATATGTGTATGCATGTGTGTGTGCATATATACATATCTTTCATACTTTTTTTTTTCCTGTTATACTGGGCTACTTCCTGGTATTTTATGGAGAACACATTGAGAAATTCTGCTGTAATAGAAGAATAGCTTAAATAAAGAGGCTTTATTGCACCGTGTCCATTGTCACTGCTTCCCTGTGTTCCAGTGGATCATTCCATTCCCTGTTTCTGCACTTCTTTACTGCCTTATGTATATAAGCCTTTACTAGATGATGATTTGCTGAAACTAAAGGGTACATGTTCAAAATTAGCTGTTCTCAAGCAGCCAGTACGTGATGGGAAGTGTTAAGTGTCTTGCTACAATGCATGTAAATCCTTTCACTGGGTGCACACAGGAGCTCATACCAATGAGTTCACGCTATTATCCATCAGTCCCAGCAGGATTCCTGAGGGTGTTCTGGAATTGACCCTTTTGTCAGCAGATTGAAACCTGGGCTCACGAGTGCCCCAGGATATACAGTTCAACAGACCTAATGTCGATGCTGCAACGGTGTTTTCCAAAGCGGTTGTCTTATGTCTCCTTAGACCTGTGTTTGAGGATGCAAGTGCAAGTTCGCCTTGATGGGCTGTCTTGTTGGTGTGGAACATCCTGTATTTATTTATCAATTAAACAATAATTATTCAGGCTTATGCTCTTTTAGTTTGTATGATAGACCCCAACTCTGCCTAAATATGCAAATTTGTATGATAGTTTGCATATTTAGGCAGAGTTGGGGTCTAAAGAAGTTGCAGCGTATTTTGACAAGAGACAAGCGTGAAAACTGCTGATAAAGAGAAGGGTTTCCTGAAAATGAGCTCTAGGAAGCAATTTTCCCCTAGGAAGGGAATAACTTGATGAAAACTGGCAAAGCTTCCTAAGTGAGAGGAGGAATGTGGGTGAATTGTCAAAGGAGCATGGTATCGTTTTACTAGATCCCTATATGGGATTTCATTCTAATTGTTTTACGGGGTAATGTGTGTTCAGATCACTGAATCTGAGTATCCTTCTCAACATTCATTAACAGCCTGGGTTATGCTGCACCTTTCAAGCCTTACGGATGAAACGCCAGAGGAGTCACGGTTCCTCCCGTGGGTCTCTTCCCCCGGCAGCAGCACCGACTCAGCAGGTCGTGCTGAGCCCCACGCCAGGGAGCAGTCGGTGCCGCGAGGATCCTGCTCGCTCGGCAGGGACATGGGAAGCTGGGAGCAGCGACGGGGGCAGGAGGAGGGTCGCGGTGCTCGTGCAGGACGCGCGTCCTGGCCGGCCCTGCGTGCCAGGATCCTTCCCTGGGGCTTCCTCCGCAGCGAGAGCTGGTGCTTCAGGAGCAGAGCAGGCTGCTGTTGTTAGCTGCATTAAAGAGAGCGTGTGCGAATGGCAGAAATAACAAATCCTCCTTTGTCGTGTTGTTTCACTGATGTGTCTTGAGCAATTAAAACCAAGAGTGACAAGTGTCTGCACACAGAAAACCTCTGCTTTGGAGTGTGAGGCTGTCTAGTGCTTTTTGCACTGCTTTCCTGAGTGTATTTATGACACCTGCTGTGGTGATAGATGCTTATCGTAGCCTGCTGCCCGTCAAAGGTCAGCTGAGGGGAGGATTTTGTAACATTGGAAAAATCTTCTCCCTTACTATCTGTATTCTGAGTTTTCTTTCCTTCTTGGAGTCTACCTGAAAAGTGGATACAGAGATATTCTCATCTTATCTGGCAGTATCCCATGTTGACATGGATTCAGCTGGTGTGGTCGTGCTACAATTCCCTGGCAAGTAACTGGAGCTTCTTGGAAGCTGTTACACAGATGGAGGTGGCAGGTGATAAGGTGTTCTGTTAAAGTGGAGGTGTTGAGACTTGCTTCTCTGATTCACCTGAGCGGGAATCTGAAGCCTGATGAGACATGTGGGATAAGGTCATTGGTCCTGGATTTAGGTTGGTTTATTTAAGCTGTTTTATGGAATGGAGAATGAACTGTCTGCTCTGAAGCTGAGTATCTGCTGAATCTGAGAATAACTGTTCTCCTTGTTTATTAGGGCCTAGAGCACATGAAGGAACAGCTGGGAAATCCTTCTGGGAGGACAGGACTGCTGGGTTAATGATTTGAGGCCTTATTCTGCCTGTGTGAATTTCTTATGCAGTTATCAGCCTTTGGAGCAATGTGTTCAAGCTTGTAGGACTGGCTTTGATTCTGTAGTGGATCTTTATTAGCCAGAAGTGGGGTGACTTGTGCATGCTTGCAAGGAGGGGGGCGTATTCAGTAATACCCAGCTTTTCCAGGTAATATTTCCATAGCAGATTCAAGTTGCCTTTTAAAAGAGGTTGATCACAGTACCCATATTAAAGAGAAATGTGCGGAGGAAGAGAAGAAGCACAGTAGCCACTGGCTGGAGAACAGAATCCAGGTATCTTGAATAGATTTCTGGATTATATCCATGTTTTTTACCCTGCTACTGTCTTTTCTTAGTTTTAAAATGGGTAGGAAAGGGATTATTTGCAAAACTAGTGTGTTCAAAGTTGTCCATCTGTGTTTGAAATCATGTTAAAAAGCTGTTTTTTAGCTCCAAGCGATGAACTAGATGTATTTGGAAGATATTGTCAGAGCTGGCTGTGACTGGGGTCTTGTCTGATTGCTTGCCCTTATTAGGATTTTTTTTTTTCTCCCCCCTGCTCTTAAGCGTATTGACATAGTAAATTACTATAATTCTTGTGCACTGTAGCATACTCTTATAGGACTTAATTATGTCAAATGAAGTGTCTCCTTCGTTTGTAATAAAATGTCAAATTAATATAGTGCATTTCTGCAGTGCAGTAAAATAACACATTTTCTTTCCTTCCCCGAGTCCTCCTCGGCAGGATCTGTAAGTGCTGAGCCAGGGTTTCGTTCCTTCTGGCAGATCCTGCGGTGGTGGGAGCTGGACCGACAGGAAATGCAGGCCTCTTCGCTGATTCACGGGACAAATTTGGCCTGTGATTTTCCTTTGCTCAGTGGAGATGACTTTCTGACTCGTGTAATTGCTGGCGCTCCTGGGTGTTGCAAAGAGGGAGGTACCCAAGTCCTAAGCGTGTGGGAAGTAGCACAGCCTCCCAGGTCTAATGGTGCTCTCCTTGTGTTGCTGTTCTGTGGGAGCACCGAGCGAGGGAACACAATATTTTAAGGTTACTTTTTGTTGGTGTTGTCTTCTCAAGATCTTCTGGACGTTTTTTCTTCCCCTTTTGTCTTCTAGATTTGGCAAAGCCTCCAGTAAATGAACCGAGGGAACCGGAACAGTTTCTAATGCAGGCGCCCCAGGGAAATCCACTGCTGCTTTCTCACACCCTACAAGAGCTATTGAGCAAGGATAGTGTGCAGGTGGAGCTTATACCTGAGAAGAAGGGCCTTTTCCTGAAACATGTGGAATATGAGGTTTCCAGCAAGGTAACGTGAACAGGCATCGGTCGGTGAGAACGTGTCCTCATAGGAGCATCCACACAGTTGCTGGTCTTGCAGTCCAGGTCTCCTGCAATGCGATAGATGTGTCATGTGATGCTGCTTTTGAGTAGGCCACTCATTTTGCTCTGCTTTAAATGCAGGTGCATTACGTTTTCTCAACCTGGGCTTTTGCAGTATAGAGTATTTCCTGACTAAGGGCTGTTGGATGGTCTGCCAGTTTTGCAAAGGGAATGGGTAGTAGCGCTGGCCCATCAGGCTCTCTTAAAACCTGCGCTCTGTGTGAAAGCAAGTGTGCAACACTGAAAAAGCCATGCTTTTCATGACAGGTAGGTGAAGACTACTGGACATTTCAGTCTAGCTGGAGCCTGTGAAGAAATCAAGTTGGCTAAACCAAAATCCTGTATAAACAAAATAGGTACTGTGAATCCTCCTCGAGGGTCTAGGCCATTTCCAGTTTACTTGCCCTAATACTAATCTGTAGGCTCTGCTCTTGATAGAGGGGACTGAAGATGGTGTATGTTTTCCTCTTCGTGGAAGAGCCAGTGAAATGGCTCTCTGGTACCTTCTGTGTGTTACTGAGACGGAAGTCCATCCTTTTCAAAATAGACCAGGAGTAATTTACATCTCTCGGGCCACCACATCAGCAGTAGTTTGGTGACAGTTGGACCATAGTATCACTGTACCTAGTCAAGTAAGTGACATTTGGGTTGGTTATCTCTAGTGGCACTTGAGGCTTTACTTGTTTTGTGTTGAAGGTCATAAGTTCCTCAAAGACCTGGCTTCTGTGTGTTACTGAGAAGGAAGTCCATCCATTTCAAAATAGACCAAGAGTAATTTACATCTCTCAGGCCACCAAATCAGTGGTTCAGTGACAGTCAGACCATAGTATCACTGTACATTTGGGTTGGTTATCTCTGGTGACACTTGAGGCTTTACTTGTTTTGTGCTGAAGGTCATAAGTTCCTCAAAGACCTGTGAGAGGAAAAGGGCTGATGGAGTGAATGCTTCTGTGGGCTCTTTGGACACAACATTTAGGTCTGCTTAATGGTGGATTCAGTGACCCTGATGGGCTCTTGAGGCCTGTACGTAGGAGCCTGTCACCAACTGCCTTCAGTTGCTGTCATCTTTCTGGCAATTCCATATAATGATACATCCACAAAAAGAAGCATAGCTTGTCCTATCACCTGCAAAACAAATCAACATCAGATTTCAGAGCAGGTGGAGGGAGGCCCTTAGGGCTGTGTTCCAGTTGTATGCCTCACCATGGTGTTTCTGCAAATGCCACAAGAAGTGGTGGATGGTGCAGTGCAGATGCAGTAAGAATGGATGTAGTGATGCATAGTCTTTCCAATCCAATGCTCCAGTAGTGGAATTTGCAGTAGTGGTACTTTTTAAAAAGATTTTACCTCTGAAGTAGGTGCCACCAAACTCCTTTAGCAGTGAGTAGCCAGTTTCTTTAGTACGTTATACGGTTTGATCTAAGAAATGGAAAATTCAGGACTAAGACTTTAAAGGAGCTTTCATACTTTTCTTATAGACTTAACTTCAATAGCAGGCCCTTTTTTTTCTTTTGTGAGGTTCATTTTAAAAGTTGTTTAGACTGGCACTTAATGTGGTCTGTGTTTGTTTGGCCACTTCTAGGTTTGAAACTGTTCTAGAGGAAGTTCCTAAGAACTGGAGCGTGGAGTTGAAGTGTTTCAAGAAAGGAGCTCTCCAGAGCACTTTAAGAGTATTTACAGCCCTTTTGGCAATATTCAATACTTTTAGTTAGAAGAGCACCATCAAGTTAGTTATGTTAGCCATATTAATGCCCAAAAGGTGGCTGACGTGGGAGGTTTTTTTCCCCTCCTGCCTCTCAAGGCTAATGGTGTTTAAAAGTAAGAAATACATAACTTTTGAAGTGATTATGGAATTGCTGCTGACTGTCTAGCCTGAGTATTGATTTTTTTTTTCCTTTGCAGCGATTCAAGTGCTCAGTGTACAGAAGATACAATGATTTTGTGGTGTTCCATGAGATGCTGCTTCAGAAGTTTCCCTACCGCATGGTACCAGCACTGCCCCCAAAGCGGGTGCTGGGAGGTAAATCTGTTTTGTTCTCTCTTGACTGGAGAGGTTGTGGTGCAAGCGTGATCAAGAATGATGCTGTTGAAAATGCCTGTTTAAAAGTATACAACGTCTTTACTTCAGTTTTGCTCAGAAAATTATGTGATTGTAGCATGGAATTTGGAGGTGAATTACTGCATGAATTACTGCAATGCAAGAAGTTCTCTGTAGGTAAAATGTTCATCTAAAAGTTCAGTGTTCTTTTTTCCAAGTAGAAGTTCAGTGTTCAATGGTCTTTCTGACAACATTTAAGGACTAACTCGGCAAAAGAGCATGGTAGAATTGCAACTGTTTTTTTAAGAAAACAGATTACAGTGGTTGAAGTTTTATGGTGTTATGAGTCAAACAGCCCCGTCAAACAGCTGTAGAGTGCTGCTGCTTGCAGTATTCTGATTACTAAATATTTGTGGAAATCCCATTACTCATCCATAGCAGAATGGAGAAAATGCATGTTTTATATTCAAGGGTTTAAAACTCCAGAAGTGATGAGGTGGAGAGTACAGTAAATGTGTATGCAGAAGGGGCAGGCCAGCATGGTGATATTAAGCAAACTGCTATATCAGGTCGCCATGTTTTATAAAATTGTCTTGCACAAAGGCCTGATGGTGCAGGCAGTGATAATTAGTTTCTCAAATTCTCTGTAAAAATGTGTCTTTCTGGCAGCCAAACCAACTGCCTTACAGTAGCTAATGTTTTTTTTTGTTTCCTATTCTAAAAAGGAGCTTATCCATCTGCTTAGTCTAACCAGAAATTAAAAGCAGAGGTTGGAATCAGTGTGTCAAGTCATTCAACTACATTGTAACTGTTAGAATAGAAACCAAGGAAGTGTCTCAAGCCCCAAAACATATCAAAGCTACTTCAGATACATTTTTCATTAATCTGAAATATTGACACTGTTTTCAAACTTTATTCTTTTATCATTTAAAATGTTATATAACTGTGTAAAATCTTTTCTGCTTTATCTGCTGAAGAACAAGCTTTTCACTGTCTTGTCTCCTGCCCATATTGCTAAACTTAACATGTTTCAAATAAATAATTGATCTCAGTCAAGGAGTCCATGTATCGCTGTAGTAAAGGGGAGCTGGGAAATGGTAAAGAGAGTCTCACAGAGTTCATAGTGAACTGGAGCAAAGCAAAATAACAGGGTTGAAAAGCTACAATGATAATAGTTTTTTTATGATGGAACACAGAATGCCTTTTTTTTTTTTGAGGTTGCAAGAACCAGTCTGTTGAATTTGCCCTGATTCAGTGCTCTCAGCTAGAATTTCCAGACCGACAACTTCATGCAATACCTGAGACCATAGCGACTTTCTCTGATTAATCTTAGTGGAGAAAGGAGAAGCTACAAATACATATTATTTGTCAGTCATTGTAATTTCCTTGTGTTAGCAGTGCTGATACTTCTGTGAATTTGCAGATGTTTTTTACCAACAGATCTTAGATACTTAAAATAATATCTGATAGGATAGGTTCCCAAAAGATGCTAGGTATACAGTCCTAAACAGTTTCAAAGCCTTTATTCCAGTGACTCTCTACAGAGAAAAGTTGAGCAAGTCATGTTAAATGGAAACTGCAAAAAAGGGGTGGGGGGAAGGCAAGAAAGAAATGGAATGGGTAGTTCTTGTTTCTGTCTAGGTTGATGGAACTGTTAATTAGAATTTTAGGGCACAGAATTATATAGATTCTTGTATCTTCTTTTCTTTTTCTTTAGTCCCAGAGCCCGATGGGCAAAGCTCTACTCTCTGTGTATTCAGCTTACTTTTATACCAAATCACATGCTTTAAATAATGGTCTGCTTTCATTTATCTGTCAGATGAAGAAAGATTGGTAGTTTTTCTCTTGTTTGGGAGGATAGTGGCAGACTGAGGCAGGTGATGTAGGAAGTGAGTGGATGACTTCAAAGATCTGTATGCAGGCTGAAGGGTGAACAGAGCCGAAGAGCGACGACCTGTGACCCTGGTGACCTGATGAGTTATGCAGCAACTGAACTCTAACTTAACAGGGAGGCCAAAAAATTACTCTTTCATGGATAAGCTTTCGGTCTTTGCTTATGTCTTTATTTTCAGTCTTCTCTGCTCTTTTGCTTCATTTTTTTAAAACTTGTGAGGCCAAAAAAATAGTCTTTCATGGATAAGCTTTAGGCCTTTGCTTATGTCTTTACTTTCAGTCTTCTCTGCTCTCTTTTGCTTCATTTTTTTAAAACTTGTATATCTTTTCTGAAAAACAAAACAAAACTTTAAGGTCTTTGAATTGCTGACTTGACTGTAGTATCAGCCAGCTGAAACCCTTCCTGCCTCAGGAAGGAAGACAGCCCGGACGTTTTCTAGCTGGACACGTAGGGAGCCTTTGGGTTAATGTACTACAGATTGCCACAGAGGTCTTCCAAAGTGCTTTCTGAAGACTTAAGTGACAGCAATGAGCATTGATCTTGAGCAAACAATTGAAAAAGACACCTGGAAGTGTGGCAGAGAGGCAGCTGGGGGTAGAACACTCCAGGTAGAACACAGTTAATTCTGTAGAAAAATGAGCATACAAGGTGGGTAAAAAGGGATGTGGGATAATTCGCTTTGAAATTAGTAAAGTGGTTGCAAGAGGTTGCATGGTCTGCAAATGGAAGAGCATCCAAGAAACTTGAGCAGAGTAAAATCCCTTCTGTGGACTGTCTATGGAATAGACTTGGGAAAATAAAAATCTTGGTATGCCTACGATTTGTAAACAGAGGCTCCAGGCCTTAAACTTGGTTATTTATCCTGCATACCTAATCTCTCTTGTGGAAGTAAACGTGTACGGATGTATTTCTGGAATTGGACATAAAGAACTACTTGAAAGAAAAGTTGTTTTGGTGGTCAATCCAAAAGCTCTGTTTTAGGGAGCTCGGAAGGCCATTCTTTGGCTCGCAGCACTTGAGCAGGCTGTATAAGTGGAAGGGAGTGTTGGATCTGGTGCCTTCTTTCTTTCCTTTCTTTCTCCCCCCTCCTTGCTGTGAGTATCTACAATGTGTGATGCATCCATTCAAATTCAACGTTCCTTCCTGCAGCTGACCGAGAATTCATAGAATCGAGGAGGAGGGCTCTGAAGCGTTTTATAAACCTGGTGGCACGGCACCCCCCGTTCTCAGAAGATGTGCTCCTGAAGCTCTTCTTGTCCTTCAGTGGCTCTGTGAGTACTTGTTAAGGACAGGCTGAGCTTGCATATCCTCCTGTAACTGTTTCCCTGGGTACAGAGTTCACAGGTGCTTCTGACCTGCACGTTACTGCTCTGTGTGGTGAAGATTGTTTTGTCTCTATAGGTATTTCTGCAGCTGGAGGATGAAATGTAATCTTATTCAGTGCCAGAGCATAACATTTTGAAAATTATAATACATAATAGGCTTCTGCCTGGATCAAACCTGGGCTGATAAAGCCATGTGCTAAGTTGTGCCATGCTCTTGCAATATATCTGTGACATGTGTAAGCTGCCTGTATTTTACTTGGTTCTTTAATGTTTATTTGATGCTGTTGCTTCTCCAGGATGTGCAGAATAAGCTACGAGAGTTGGTCCAAGGAGTGGGAGATGAATTCATGACTTGCAGACTAGCTACCCAAGCCAAGGTATCTGTATTTCTCAGTATATTTTTCTGGTTTAAATGTGTCTCTTCCCCAAGTGGATCAGCTGTGGTGCTTGTTGGGTGATACACAGAAACCTTAGGCAGGAGGAAGCTGTTTGCAAGGTTAGAAGGACTTGCAAATTCTAAAGTTATAGAAAAACAGAAATATATGTTTGTCTCCTAAGGTCTAGCTACTTTTAGTTAAATGTTGGTTGATTAATATTATGAAGATAGAACAATGCACCTTGCCTAGAATGTTTTTTTCCGCAATTACTTGTCCTTGTATAACAGACAAATATGCATACCACACAATTCAATTTTAAATTTAAAATTAAAAATTAAATTTAAAAGCTAATTTTTAAAGCTAATGTCTAGGTTGGTATTTTCCTCACATGCTTGTGCCGTCATTCTGTCCATTTTCTTGATGTGGGAGACTAATTTAGACTGTTATAGAGGACTTTAAAAATAACCCCCTTACTAACTCCTATCCACTGAACTTTTAATTACTTCTCTTCGCCTGTTGGCAGAACTTTGCTCTGCAGGAGGTGAGAGGGTTAAAAACTGTATGTGATTTCACAATATATGTACAATGCCTTCTCATGATCCTAGTGTGTGGATCTGAAGTATTGCGATAGAAAAAATGAGTGGGCAGGTAGCTTTGTTTCTCGTGCCTCAGTTCCCACACTTCTCCATTTGAGAACGGAGAGTTAAAAGTTGGGATTTTTGGAACTGTAGTGTTACTATGAGACTGTAGTGTAAGAGTGCAAAGCAAGGTCTAGGTGCTATTTCTTTCTTAGTTAGAAGTTCTCCATACACCTGTTTATCCCTGTGATTAGTGCTATGACAATTTTTAAATGTACATTCACTGTATTTGAGCAACTTTGGAGTGACTTGCTGTTCAGGTTCTTCCATTGCTAGCAGAAGGTTTTGCAATCAGAGCTTAATCAGGCTCTTACTAGTGATGCACAAGTCGGAGCTTAGCTGGACTCTTTGGTATGTGTTTGGCTTTGCCACGGTGGCAGTTGCTAGTAGCATCAGATCAGAACTTGTGAATCTGAAACCTCACAAGCCAATTTCAGCTCCATAGCAGAACTGTAGATCTTGCCAGTTCTGTGTGTTCCCTGATTTAAAACCTCTTTCAGTCCCTGAAAATTAGATGTATTCGTATAACACCGACTTGAACACTTAAGTTGCACGGCTAATCTCTCCAGGGCCCTTGTAGGGCCCTGTCTCCATGACAGGGCCATTCCGGGCAAACGCCTCCCTTCCACAGCCTGAATTCCTTCTGGAGAAATGGGTCTCTGCTGACTGTACAATCTGCCTACAGCTGAGATGTGTGAATGCTGATGTGTCCACAATTAATCCTTCTTGTATTTCCTCAGGATTTCCTTCCAGCTGACATACAGGCCCAGTTTGCTGCCAGCAGGGAGCTCATCAGGAATATTTATAACAGCTTTTATAAGCTTCGGGACCGTGCAGAGAGGATAGCTTCTCGAGCCATTGATAATGCGTCAGATCTCCTCGTATTTGGAAGGGAACTAAGGTAGGTTGGGAGAAAGAATTTGCTAGTGGGAATATTTCTGCTGTTGTTTCAATACTCAAAACTGCTGTGAAGTTTGCCTGCAAATATGTAGCTTGTAATGAAGTTTTTGCTTCCTTAAAAGAAGAGAATGCGTTCTTTCCTCCAAGGTAACTCTCTGTAGGCCAAAGAGCAATACCTTGACATGCTGTTACTGATTACACTGCTTACCCCAGTGTGTATGCAGCACCACTTTTGTGATTGTTCAGTAGTAGCTCTGCAGTATGAGCTGTTTAGACAGATGTGAAAGTCTGAACTGCTCTCTGCAGGTGGGTGTATCTGCACAGTGGAATTTATCTCTTAGATTTCACTACTGCTGCTTTCTTCTCCCAGTGCTTTGGGCTCAGACACGACACCACTTCCTTCCTGGGCTGCTTTGAACAACAGCACGTGGGGGACTCTGAAACAAGCCTTGAAGGGTCTTTCTGTTGAATTTGCACTTCTGGCAGATAAAGCTGTGCAACAGGTGAGTTCTATCCCTTTCTTTAAGAGTTACTCCTATATATTTGCAGGGAGGTTCTAGCCCAAACACTCATCCTCAACCATCAGTTTGCTTGTGTAAGTTGAAATGATGGGGGCGGAAAAAAATGGGCTATGTTTTAAATGAGGACAGGAAGTATAATGGGCAGGGGAAAGGAGGGATATGCCTTTTAAAATTATTTTATTTTATTTTTTCTCTTTTCAAAAAGCTACTGGACAAGTTGAGTCATACTGCTCTCCTGAGCTGAGTCCTGCATTTTCTCTTATTAATCTACTGCAGAGGATCCAGAAGAACTTATTTCTGAATCAAGTTTTGACATTAATGTACTTAAACATTACATGAGAGTCATTCAGACAGAAGCGTCATATTCCTGTGTAACTGTACAGTGTGATAATGACAGTTAGAATAATGTGAGAACATGACAAGCTGGGAGGGAAAAGTAATAGTTTTCACTTCTCATCTTGTTGTGTTAAAACACTCGGCATGCTTTTATAGATCAGTCAGATGAGGTTTTTATCCTCTGGAGTTTATGCTCAGAGAGCTCTCTTGATACAAGAAGAAAATAAAATGTTTAGTGAAGAAATTTGTTAATTTTTTTTAAAAAGTTAAAATCTAGCTTGTCTCATCTCCGGTTTCTGATGCATGAACTGTTACAGGGATCGTGCAGGTATTTATAGATTTAATGGATTAGCCATCTTGTAGAATGGAAAGATGAAAGATTGGTGGAATCTGCAAGAGCAAGAAATTCAGCTCTCCCTGCCCGGAAAGGACCGACCTGCAGCACTTGTGCAACTCACTCCTCTTGTTAAAACGATCACTCAATTGGAAAAGCTGTTCCTGCCCCAGTCAGGTCTTTGTTCTGTGTGCTAAAGACTAAACTCTCTGGTGCCATCTGAAAGCTTCCTCATGCAGTTGTGTAATCATTGATTTGCCCTGAAGAGTAGCCTGCATGCTGTAGGGATGTGGAGAACTCTGATGTTGCTTCTTGCCCGGCTTACATAAATGTACTTTTTCCCTTGTTTTGTAGGGTAAACAGGAAGAGAATGATGTGGTGGAGAAGCTGAACCTTTTCCTGGATTTACTCCAGTCCTATAAAGTGAGTTCTGCTGTTCTTCTGCCAATGAGCAAGTTGTTTAGAGCAGGCTTGTGCTCTTTAGAGGGTGTATCGCCAGCTAAATGGAAAATTGTCTGGAAGGGCAGTTCGGAGGCAAACTGGGCATCTGGCAGAGGAAGGGGAGTGGCTCTTGGCTATAGACACTCCTTAGCCTTCTGACCAGATCTCATCTGGTGATGAGATGTGATGGGATTTTGCCAAGCAGCAAACCCTGCAAGAAGCCTGAAAATGTGTGCCTGAATAATATGGATCAGCTAGTCTTTTTCCAGATACGGCTGCTTCCAAGGCAAGGCATCCAACTGAATAGCAGCTGTTTTGTACATGAAGACCTAAAATCAGTTACAAATGAAAAAATGTTGTTGATGCTAGTCCTTTGGTCAGAGGTGTGTTTTTAGAAGCACCTAGGTAAATGATGCTTGGCAGCATCTCCTGATGTTCCCAGGCTTGGACAGAAATAGAAGGAAAATGGCAAGCTGTTATTGCTGTTAATTGGCAGCACTTAATCTTAAAAAGGGCACAGAAGATGAGTGGAATGAAGATCCAAAATGCTGGCATAAGTGATGTGCCAGATTGCCTCTTAAGCTCAGTGGCCTGGGTTCAGGCAGTTTTGTTTCTTACGTTGTTAGGTGCCAACATTGTCTGACCCTTTTGAAAACACAGAAGCCAAAAGATCTGCAGTGCAGAAGTTGCATAAAGCACCACCATTTAACTCCACTTCTGTTCCTGATGCACTTGGCTCGCTCGCTTGCTGTGTGAGCCCCCTGCCCTGCTTCCATGAGCTATCTGCTGTTTTCCTTTTCCCCCTAAAGGACCTGTGTGAAAGGCATGAGAAGGGGGTATTGCACAAGCACCAGCGAGCACTGCATAAGTACAGCATGATGAAGAGGCAGATGATGAGTGCCACTGTGCAGAACAAGGAACCAGAATCCGTGGAGCAGCTGGAGTCTCGGATTGTGGAGGTAGGGCAGAAACCCATGAGAACAAATGGTAGTGAACTGCTCTAATGATACCACGATGCAGCTCAATCATATTTGCAGAAAGCCATTAGATGAAAGGGGGTAACCTGTACTTTAGGTAATTTGAGCTACCTGCTGTGCTACAAGGAAAATGCATTTGTTTTCTTCAACACTTTTCTGGCTCTTTAGCAGCATGTCATTTGCAGGATGTACAGAAAGTAATAATCTGTGTGATGGAAAGTGTAGTTCCTGTCATGTGAAATGGGTCCAGGAACTGCCTTTTAAGTTCTTGGTATGTGTTTGCGTTGGTGAGAAAAGCTATTTTCTCTTGCTGCAAATGAATCTTCTTGGCATTTTATTCTTGACCACGTATCTCACGGAGTTTCTCTTTGTTTAGCAAGAAAATGCCATCCTAACCATGGAGCTGCGGAATTACTTTTCTTTGTATTGCCTGCATCAGGAGACACAGCTCATCCACATCTATCTGCCTCTCACGTCTCACATCCTGGGGGCCTTTGTCAACTCCCAGATCCAGGGTCACAGAGAGGTGAGTTCTCCTGGTCTATGTTCTTTTTTCCAAAATAGGAATGAAAATTTAAACTTCTATTTTTCCTGTGGCCCTTCCTTCTCTGATAGTCTGGCCTACTGGGAGCTATCATAACCTTTTAAGAAGTCATCAAAGGTCTCCTCAGTCAGGTGTGAGGATCAGGGCTGGCCTTTAGCTCTTTAAAAAGCTGTGCATCTTAGAGCAAATTGTTGTTTTTCTTTTTTCTTATCTGTGGATGGCTTTTTTGAGAAAGATGGTTGAAACAGACCCAACCATTAAATAGGTATTTATTCTATAATGAATGATGTGTTTGCTAAGTAGATCTGCTCTTGGTTGTGTTAGATAGAAATTATATGACAAGGAGGAACTTCTCTTTTTCACAGAATCCAATAGCTCCCTTTGTTTATCTCTAAGTGTGATCTTCACCCTTCCCTATATACAGGTATTTCTTGTATTAGAGAAAACTCCTGCCACATCCTGTTGTACTGTTTGTTTTCCTTCCTCTCCCATTCAGATGAGTAAAGTTTGGAATGAGTTGAAGCCGAAGTTGAGCTGCCTCTTCGTGGGATCTAGCAATATGCCAACACCACCATTGTCACCTCCAGAAGGAAACTTCTTCTCCAATTAATTCCCTGAGCACCTAGGATGGAGCAAGAAGTGCAGTCAAGGGAGGGTGGGATCTCTACCTCCAAATGTTAGAATGAATCCTCCAAACAACTATTATTTTTTTTATATTGCTGCTTTGAGCTGCTCTCTGAATTAGACTGGATATAGGGCAGAATATACAGATGTAAAGACAATCTCTTAAATCTGAAGTGCTTTAGGGCAGGTCTGGGTTCACTGTCCTGCAGGCACCCTTGCTAGTATCCAGATGTGACCGGTGTTGGGAGTGCTGTGATTTTGTTGCTGGTGCCTCTGCAGCTTGTATGGACAGTCCTCCAGTATTTATTTGCACATCTGCTGACAAACATCTGGGCTGCTGAGATGAACAGGATATCTGAAGCCCTTGCTTACAGAAGAGATATATGGATTGCCTTTTAAGCTTGGGGGGATGTATGTTAGAGGCATATGTGCACAAGGAAAGCTGAAGGCTATTCCCAGTTCCACTGGTAGGTGTCTGGATTTCTTACTGCTAGACTTTGGAGCAAATTGCATGAACATGTTGGATTCACTAATCCAGCTGGGTTGGCCTCAGTGCTGCTGTGAGGCAGCACTTTCCCATTGAGCCTAAGCAGACTCTATGTCAGTGCGATTCAGTTCACGGTTGCAGGGCAGCCTAGGGACTTGGTGATGTTTTTCAGTTCGGGGCCAAAGATGTCTAGGTTTGGGAGCTCAGAAGAGTTTCCCTAGCATAAATGAGAAAATGATTGATTGAAACACTCCTTAATTGTACACCACTCCTATTATACACACAGTATAGCTACAGGTTAGCTTGTTTATTTTCTTCTGGAGGTTCTGACATCGCTCTATCAAATAGTTTTTTAGGATTATTGAAGAGCTGCTGACCTAAAGGCTGGTGTTTCCTCTGCTAAAGATGAAATATCCTGTTACACCAACAAGCTAGGACATAATACTGATAAAATTCATTAGCAAAAAAACAGTACTTATAATATTACTGTTCTCTTTTCTGACTCTGGGCAGTATTGGAGTGTGTGAAGGAGAGAAGACAACTGAAGGGGTAGTTCTTTATCTCTCTAAGAATAGCATCGTCCTTGGTAATGGCATTTTCAAAATGATTTCTGATTGTGATAAAGGGACTAAACATTCTCCATGTCTCGCTCTGTATCTCTGGTGACTTTCCCTCATAAAAAAACAGGATTGGATGAGGACAATTTGCATATCATCTGTTATCTCAGGAGAAATTGTGCATATCCTCTATAGAAACTGATAAGTGAAGAAACTGCAAAAGTCTGCAGGAAAACTCTATGTGAACCTAACTCCTCCGGGACCAAATGAGCTGCCAGAGAGGAATTGGGGACTTGGTTTCTTAGCATTTGTTTTGAGTGAGTAAAAAGGAAGCACATTAATAAGGGTGAGTGCTTGCTATCAAACTGGAACCATTACAGTATTTTCCCACTGGGGAACTTCCCCATTAGTAAGATATGTATTTAAATCCTCCAATCACAAGAGTGTTTTTTTTCTATTATTATTTAGAAAATCCAGTGGAGCATGAAATACATTATAGTCCAGGTGGAAATAATGGACAGTTTCTTCAGCTAGGAGCAAGACAATAAGGTATTTCCCAAAGTTCGTAAGCCAGGCATAATGACTCCCTATATATATGTATATAAATGATGTGTGTGTGCATACAACACACATATATACATTATACATATATAAAGAAAAAATATCAAAATATGGTAAAATGCACTTGGTGATGCATTTCTTAAGGAGTGCAGGGAGTGTTGTTTAACAACCTGTTCAGAATGTATTGCTAAGAGTTTTTTATAGCAATTCAAATGTAAACTTTTTTCAGAGTCTTTCCTCTTGCATGACAGATTTGATTCTGCCTCCCGAAGGCTTCCAAAGTGATGGTGAAGAGGTTCTGTCCACAGGCCAGAACAAACTCAGTGGGGAGAGAAATGTTTCTGTAGTACATAAACAAACAAGACATCTCAAGAATGGCTTATATTGATTAGGAAGAAAGATTGTGGTTAAAGTGTTATTAGCATCTTACGGGGTTTTTTAAATGCTCACTCCTAATATCTTTACAATGTGCCAGCTGGTTATGGCCAGTTGCTTATTTATTCTTTAATACCCATTCTCGCTTTAAGTCTTCCTTTTTGTCTGATATGTTGAATAGTCTAATTAAGAAAACACTGCATGTTTTAGGGGGAAGATCTGTTATTTTATATGATGGATCTTCTGTGTATGTTGACTGGCTGGTGTAGACAACTGGGGATGTGTTCTGTAGGAACATCTACAAAGTATTAGCCTGAAAGAAACATTGCACTTTTCACATTCAGAAGTTAAAATTTCAGACTTAAACAAGTTAGACTTTGGAGTAATTAACTCCTCTTTTCTATTCTCTTTTAAAGCAAGAAAGCAACAGTCCTCATGTAGAGACTATAACAACATACATATAGGTAGACATCAGATGTATCAAAAAACTGGAATTGTGCTGATTGGAGAAAATAACCATTTCTCCATTGTCAGCCATTTATTCTTTGAGGACAATGAGTTTTGTCCTGCCTTTTTCTGTTCACCCAGTATTTTGAGAACAAAGGCTTGTTCTCATAGCTGATTCAGCTAATAGCACTTTCAGAATTTCTTTCCTACTGGACTATTAAGCTCCTGTGTCATTTCTAAATGCATATACTACTTAATACAAGCTTTAGTTTGCAAACGTGATTTTTGGAAGACTGGTCAGTGTGCAAACAGCAATATCATGTTAACCTCAATGTATGAGGGAGTTCCTTCCAGGATGTGTCCCATTTATTTTAGGGAGCTGTCAGATTTGCAGAGAGCAGCAAGTCCAGTCTCTTTGCTCTAGAGGAACACAGCAGGGATCAATCAAGTTGACTTCAGTTTTCTGTCAATTCTAATCACAATGCAGGGGAAATGGAACTAGTTACCTCCCTGTGATTGCTTTCTACAGCCAGGAGCCTCGCATCTAGCAAAAATAGTGGGGAAAAAAAAATTCATGAAATTGCTAGTTCCATTTAGCTAAGTAGATTGCAATAAACACTAAGCAAACAAGACTAGGTGAAGAGTGTGCGCTGCTTATCCATGAACTGATGCTTCTCTAAACTTAGCACCAAAGAGATAATGTGCCTTCTTGGATGCTTTCTGTGTGTCTTCACCTCATGGTGACAGAGGTGAAGACATGGTGGTTTCCATGTGTTCAAAATAGCAATGACAGAAAAGGCCTCCAAGCTTTGTGTCAGTGTCTCCATCTGATATGCCCAAATCCAGGTTAGCTGAGAGCCTGAAGCTTCACCTGAAAAGTGTCTTTCTTTCAAAAGGGCTACATGTTTTCCTCACTCCTAAGTTACCTCTGCTTCAAGCTGTTGGTGTGGTGACACACAGCCTTTCTGATCAACATGGAAGAGTTTCCTGTTGCAGAAAGGTTTTCTACCCCATCAGATTTACAATACAACCTTGATCTTTGATGCATCTCTTGTGTCTTTCCTCCTCATTCCACATTATTTTAAGTTGCTGCTGGTAGCCTGTTTTAAACTGTGCCTTACTGCATTCTAGTGCTTTTACCCTTCTTTCACCATGCAAGGGTGTAATTCCGGGAATTTGTAAAAGACTAATTTACAATCCTGTTTGCTGTTTCCTAAAAGACAAAGATCACCAGCTGGGTACACAATTTCAAACACAACACTCCAAAACTGCAGCAGGAGCAGTAAATAGTCATTCCTCTTCCAAAGGGTTAGGGCTAAATTCAGTGCTGGTAAAAGCATCTTTGTAAAGGGATGGATTTGGTTGCAGAGGTAAGGGATGGCATTTGGTTTTTTTTCCCTACCTGAACTCCTGCAGAAAAAATAAAGCAATTTGAGTACTCTGACCATGTAGTTTACCCTTTTCCCCAGGAGATAAGATTACAGTGCAGGTGTCAGCTGCCAGACTCCCCTACCTACCATGCAGTAAGGTTTTTACATTCTGTTACAAGCTACCCATCTCCTTGTGCTTATTTTTTTTCTTACACTTGCCTCAAGCTACTGTCTCCATTAGAACAACCACAAACCCATAGTGGGTTGCTGTGTCAGAAGCAGAGGTGAGTATTAAAAATCCTGTAAATAAGTCAGTGTGCAAAACAAAAGGAAAGGTAAGAGGATGTTAACTCTTATCCTCTAACTTCTGGCTGTGGCTTTCCGAGCATATGAAGAGCGTTGTTGAGTGGTATAAATTATTCAGAATCGCTTTGGGGAGACAAGGAACAATCTTGTTTGGAGGGTGTGAAGTTTGCTTGCCTGGAATATCTTGTATCTTTGCTTTGCTCAAATAGCCTTATGTATGAAGCACTTTATCCAAATGCAGGAATTAAACTGTTACAGCAGCTGGTAGACTGGAAATGTTTACAAATCCTATATTACATTCCAAGATTCTATCTGTAAGTGTTAAATGTGTTTATAAAAGTGTTTAAAAAAAAAAAAAGCTCATATAAGAAGTTTCATATGTGATGTGTTATTTCTAGCACAGTTTGATTAAGCCTGCAGTGCCCTGCATGCTAAGTTGGCCTGACCTCGGTGCTCAGTACATCACCTCTGGCTGGCATGCAGCAAAGCCTGCAGCTGTAGGTGATTCTTAACACAGATCTGCTGAAAGTTGAGCTTTTGTCCAGCATATTTCTGCTTGTGAGTACAAAATGCTAAAAACAGTTGAAGTTCCCAGCAGGAGCTCCAACAGAAGGAAGAACGAAGCTAGGGCTTCAACAATGCCATGTATCCATGTCAGACTTCTGCTTTGGACTCCTGTAATCTTATGCTGCTATCAAGGGGAAAATCGTGAAAGGATCCCTACTTTAAACTTTCCAGAGGATGTTCAAAGTGCTGATCAAGACTCACCTTGTCCCAGAAAGTAATGTTGAACATGGAAGGAAAGGGGGTGGAGGAAATACTTAAATTCTAGTCTTAGCTTGGGAAGCACAATCCCCTGCTTTATCCATTTAATGTTCTTGCAAAAGGAAGCCAACTAGTGAAAGGCCCTGAAACAACTTAGAAGCTGAACAACAGCTTATAACAGAACAAAAGATGTTTTTACTTTAAAATATTTTTATTTTTTAAAGATATCTCTAACATAAGGGGAAAAGCCTAGCAACTTGCTTGAGAAGGACAGAACTAACATTTTTAGAAGCTGTCATCAAGCCACCACTGAAGCCTACCACAGCCAGGGACTTCACAGCATGAAAGAATTACTTTTCTTTCTGTTCTAAGAAAGCCCCTGACTTCATTTGCTAAACCACAGGGAAATTGGTCTCCTCTGCTGGAGGGCTGAGGAAGATAAGCAGTGTAAGAAACAAGTCACGCTGATCCTAGCCCAATGTGGGCAACAGCACGTGGCCTGAGCGCTTCCCTTTTCTTCTTAAACTTCCTCCACTTCTTTAAGGGTATGCTCCAGGATTGTGTCTTGTCCCTGGAACTTAAAGTAACCACGAAACAACTTCTTCTGAAGCACCAGGGGAAACCAGTAGGCATCGTCTGCCCACATGTGATTGAAGGGCACCTCGTCCAGCTGAAACCACTGCGGGCGCATTTCTGGTGACAAAAAAAAAAGAGAGGTGCTCTTGCTTTCTTGCTGCCTGGGCTTTGGATGTCCAGCAACAGCTTCTGGCTCCAGCCCAGCTGCCTCCCTTCTCAAAGGAATTTCAACATGAATAGATCTGCATTACTTTACTAGCAAATACTGCCTCAGAGAAGAATGCACATCCTTCCTCCCCCTCCTCTAACCACCTACCATCACTTTCTGTTGGCTCCCCATGAAAATCATCTGCCCGGAAAATGTGAACTTCCATGAGTTCAGAGTTGCCCACAAATTCAAATGTGATCTGGCCCATCTTCTGCAAGGTGTCCACAGTCAGTCCGCTCTCCTCCAGAAGCTCCCTGCACAAGAAACAAGACCTCTTGACATGAGAGGGACAGCACAAAGTCATTAGCTCTGCTTGCACATTCAAAACACTTCAGTGAGCCAAAGGGGAAAGCTGCCTGGGTAAAATAGAGCAGGACCCAGCTGCAGAGCATACAGGCACCAAAGAGGAGTGTTCTGGCTTGCACCAAAATATTTGTCTACTTCCATGACAGTGGAACAGTGTCAGACTGTCTGCCTTATGTGTTATTTCAAGCTCCTAGAGAGTGGTAAGAAAATAGTCTGTGTAGGATGGGGGAGGATTCAGGAAAATGGACTGTTTGGTGTCATTTAGGTTTCTTGCCATATGATCTTTTTCTGAAATTTGTTAGAAATGGACAAATGTTCAGAAGTATTAAGGCTGTAGTTGGATATAGCTGAAGAACTCCAAAACACACTTTACTTAGGCAAAATGCTTTGGCAACTTCAAGCTAAATCTTGCAGAACTGTGGGTTTCCCACTGCAGGTGGGAAATGTTAGGGTGCCTGTGCTTGCCACAAAATCAGCTGCTTTGAGCCTAAATAAAACTTATTTATGGAACATGTTTATACAGCATTACTTGTACAGGAAAAAATAGGAATATCATCTCCCAATTAAATGCACTATAAAAATACAATTCAATTATGTTAAACTTTCCATTTCTACTTCTTGGAAGTACATTTAGAGGCTAGAAGGTGAGACTTTTAAGAACTTTTTTCCTCCAAGGTTGCCAAAGAGCTCTTTTCCTCGCATCACCATACAGGGCTACTTGAAGCAGACTTGATTATTTCCTTATATGCCTGCACTATGTAGGACCTTCTCTAACAAAGTTGGTGTAATTGGAAGTTGTAAAGTTATTTCATGTTTTTTTCTAATGTACAAAAATAATGAATATTTTGAAATTCAGTGTATCTTCAATTAAGGTTAATAATTAAATGCGACTCAACTTCAAAATTAATTTGTAGTTGCATTTTTGTAAGTAACTTTGTCATTAGGAGTAATGGGATTTATCTTTAAAGCTCCAGCTTGCTTTGGCATCAATTTCATGAATCCCATCCTTCAAAATTACATTGGTACATAATATCTTTGCTAATTTTAGTTGATCTTCCTGGGAAACTATTTATGTCTCAAATAGCATCAGTTTTCTCAGCAACAAAGATAAAAGCCTCATTTCATAGGCAATGATAATTAAACACTAAGCTAACACTTTTGTGGTTTTCTGAGCACTTCATACATCTGTGAACTGCTCAGCTCCTTATACAGTAAATGGAAACACAAGAGGTAATAAGCTAGAAATAATGAACTAGCTAAATGCCTCCCTTGTAAGATCAGACACTGAGGAGCTGTAGGTGCCTAGTTCCTCAAGGGAATGTTGTTCTTGTGGTGGAGTATAGAAGTATGGCTGATCCAGGAGCTCTTGTTCACGTTTCTGCTTGACGTTTAGCTATTCTGTCAGTGCTGTGCACACACATGACATACATTATCCCCTTGCAAACCCCACCAAAATATGGGGGTACGAAAGGGAACCAGAGCCTAGTGCCTCAGCACCTGAGAGGGAACAGGGTTGGACTGGTGTGGATGTGGAGCAAGTATTTGGACTACATGCCATCCTCCTGGAGGACAGCTGCCTGGGCCACTGTCTGCACCCTGCACTTGTGTACACCTTTACCAAGCAGTATCTCACATACATTGAAGCTCTAGTTTCCAAATCCAGGTCTGCAGAGATAAGCACATGCCCCTCCTAGATGAAATGCTAAATAAATCAACTCAGTAGATTTACACCATACTTGGTGTAATCTAAGTATGGCAAATGAAGACCTGGTTTAAGTGACAAACAGATCTCCTTCCACTTGAGGATAATATATGACATGAAAAGCCCTGGTGTAGGAGTCAGTCACAATAACCTTGTGCCCTGGTGTGTGCACATCTGTGCAAAGGGTTCCTTGGTTACCTCACCACAGAACCCGAGCGGTGGTAGGAGACGGTCCAGGGCCAAGTCTGTTAAGTGGCCGTTGAGCACTAAGCTTCCTGCAGGTGCAAGGTAAGTGCGGGCACACGTCAGTGTGCCTTGGTATCACACAGAGAACAATGCACAGAGATTTTAAGAGTGTAGCAATGCTGCCATGATCTGCTACTTAATTTCAATGACTACATAAAATCCAGCAAGACTCTAGTGCTAGCAGCTTTAAAAATAGTATTTTTTACCTCTGGGCTGAGGAAATTCAATTCTCTTACTTGGCATTAGGACTTGAAAATGTCTCCGTCCAGCCAATTAACGAATTTCCACAGTGCCTTTCACAAGCGAGCTGTAAAAACTTCGAGTAGTCAGTGACTGTCTTTTTCACACAGTACTAAAAACGCCACCGAAATGTAGCACCTCCTCAATAGCTTTATAGTTTTAGGCACTGGCATTACAGTGACCTGAGTCGTAATCCTGCAGTGCAGCCAAAACTCGACCTGTGTCTGCACCACGTAAGAGCCTCCGCTAGCCGTAGTGCACCCAGCTTTGGTTTAGAT